TCGCGGATCCCGAAACCTGTGGGGCCCTGCGCGTGAAAGAACGAACGAAAGGGAAATCGGGTCCTGTGGGAGAGCGAGCCGCACGGTGCGGGCGACCCGCTCCTATCAACGTCATCATTCTTTGGCGCGCGTATTTTTCCATATTTTCGCATACGCGTCTCGCTCCTTGTCGCGTTTCTACTGGCCGCAATTAAAATGATTGTACGGTCGAGGTTATGAATTCCACAGGTGAATTTTCCTCGACATACGCAAGTCGCCGACGATCAAGCTGTGATGATTTTTTTACGTCGCTTTCTCAACGGTCACCCTGTAGATACAGTCATTTGACAAACAGATTTCTTCAAATGGATTCAATATTTTTTATTGCTGCATATGTGTACAAGGATGACTTTGATTTTTTACTGATACGTCCGCACTTATCATCTGCTATTTTTAAATTTGCCTTATATGAATGTGAATAAATAATTGAGTAAGTTCTTACTTATGAAAATATTATAAGTCTGTAAATGAAAATATTACGTTTTCACTTATGTGTTTAATTTCATCGATTGATTTTCATTTAATATTGTTTATTTAATATTGTTATGTTTTACTTAAGTGATGTTTATATGTGACTTTAGTGAACATGTGGATCTTATTGCCTATACTTTCACAGACCTACTTTTCATACTTGTGCACAATAATGCGGCATTATTTTCTGATCAGCAAGTTTCAAATATGTATAAGAAAGATAAAATGTATCAAACAATCAGATAAAACTTGTTAAAACAAAACATTCATACAGCACAGATATCTAAAGATTGTTCTAAATATGTCCTCTATGTCCTATAGACGTTTATATCCTCTAGATAAAGTACGCTATGTGGGCAAACTTTAAAAGATAATTTTTTTAAAGTTCTTAAAAATTATATTTTTACGAACTGTGAAGAAAATCTGTAGTTCATATAAATATAACTTTTAAAAATTACTATGCTATAAGCTTCCAAAATCTTATCTAATAAACGAATAAGTCATAATTTTTTTATTTAATTAAATAAAATTAATAGATATAATTAAAATAGACATTAAGGTATTTATTTATTGCAACAGGTAATCCGCAATGGCAAGCACGTGCTTCCAACGTTGGCACGATTATGTCTCATTGCTACATTCCTAGAAGATGGTTTACGAATGTGGTTCCAATGGAGCGAACAGCGAGAATATATGGATGCTTCCTGGGGCTGCGGAAAATTCCTGGCTACCGTCTTTGTCTTTGTAAATCTTGTTGGACAACTCGGTGGATGTGTCATGGTGATTGGCAGATTGCGAGTCAGCATAGCCTGCGGAGTTCTATTCTTCATCGTTATCCTACAAACTATCGCTTATAGCATCCTATGGGACATGCAATTCTTGTTCAGGAATTTGGCGCTAATAGGAGCGCTCTTACTAGTATTGGCCGAATCCCGTGTTGAAGGCAGATCGCTGTTTGCCGGCGTCCCTAGTCTCGGCGACAACAAACCTAAGAATTTACTGCAATTAGCCGGTCGAATACTGTTGGCGTTCATGTTCATTACGCTGATTCGTTTCGAAATATCATTTCTGCAGATCCTCCAAGATATTGTTGGTAGCATCCTGATGGTGCTGGTAACAATCGGCTATAAGACTAAGCTGAGCGCATTACTACTTGTTGCTCTACTAACCGCGTTAAATTTTTACCACAATGCGTGGTGGTCCATTCCCGATTACAAACCTCTCAGGGATTTCCTTAAATACGACTTCTTCCAGGTAAGTTCTCTCTGAGTTTACTAATTACATAAATATTGAGTATTTTTATCATGTTAAAATTTATTACAATGAAGAGATTAGTTTCTTAATGTTTTATTTCTGCAAAGTAACTTTATAATGTGTAAAGTAAAAAAAAAACTATAAGTTAAATTCTAAATAAGTTAAAAAAGAATCATTTTTTTATATCAGAAGAAAATTGCTAAATTCAAAAATTATAAAAAAAGAAGAGCTAATTTTAATTATTTTTAATCTAAAGATTTTAATTGTTGTTTAATTTTGAAATTATTATAATTTTTGTGTGATTCATTATACCTATTGCTTAGTTTAATATATAATTTCAATAAAATTTAATATGATCCTCTATATAAATATTCTGATATTCATTTCTTATTTTATTTTATTACAGACATTATCAGTCATCGGTGGCCTTTTGATGATAGTCTCTTTAGGTCCAGGCGGTGTATCGATGGATGAACATAAGAAAGAATGGTAGAAATAATTCCACCTAAATGGATATAGAAGATGCATGCGTCATTGGGTTGTCATGAAAGTTAAAGTGAATTATCGTGTCTCCCGTTTTATCCTTATATGCGCTCAAAAAAAAAATCATAAACGAGTCGAATAACAAAGAACTCATTGCATGGATATCATCGGTCTAGAAGCGATCATATTTTATGTTGACTAATCAAATTTTATATTTTAACATTGCGGCAAAACATTTGAAAGATTTCGAGATCAGTAAAACTATTCCACAATATTTTAGAATATAAAGTTAGCATGAAAGAAATAACAAGAAAAAACGTACATACTTAAATTGCAGCTCATAAAAGTTTAAATACTCGCATAAATTTTATCGAATGATCATGTAAAAAAATAAAGAGATGAAATAACAATTGTGTTATTCTTTTATATGTTTTAGGGTATTTGTACATGTATTAACTAATTGCAAAAGCTTTATAAATTATTTTTAATTTTATATGTATTGTTTTTATTTCGTAGATCATTAATACAATAATCGATAAATTTCGAAGATTTGTTTTTGACATATAAAATTAAAAATAATTTATAAAGCTTTTGTTTGGTATATGTGTACAAGTGTCCTGAAATATATATATAAAAGTGTAACTAACAATTGTTGTTTTATAGTCTTCTAATTTTTACATGATGATTCAATGAAATTTATGTGGCGATCTGAACTTCTATGAGCGGCAATGTACACATACATACACATATAACACACACACACGCACACACACATACACACGCGTGAAAATATTTAAGACGATTGACATTGTATATACGACGCTGCGTCTAATGTGGATAATGTATTTTTTCCATATATTTTTGATTTATCTAACTTTAATCGCGAGCTAAACCGATTATTTCAAAACTTGTATTTTAATATCGGATATATGCTTCCACATTCTGTATCTAAGATTTAAGAATTTCCAGGAAGAAGATCCGTCGATCCTAGTTTTACTGTAACCTTTTTTTAACTTAATTGACTGTAAATAAGTGTTCCAGATTTGTCTTAATTATGAAATATAAGAGAAAGAGCGGGTTGTTAAAGAGAAATCAGCAGGTTAAGGGTTATTATAGTTAGCTCCAATAATATGTCATGCGAAAATAAACCGATCTTAAAATAGCGTGCGTACGAACCTCTCTTTACATCAGCAAAACGAGAAAGAGAGAGAAGAAAGAGGAGGAAGGCGGACGCAATCCTACAAAGTTACTAGGGGAAGTGCAACGCCTTTTCGACATCTTCTCGAGGCTAACCGGCGAAAGAGTAAAGCTCGAAGAAGTCTGAAAAGATGAGAATCAAGAATCAAGGATGTAAGCAAGTACCTGTGAATAAAGGTACCACTATTTTATACGGGAAACCATTTGCCTATGTTGTAAGATCGGTGGTACGCGACGAAAGATGCGACCATTGCCTACGAAGGTAAAAAAATGTTTTATCAGATATATATATATACATATATATATATATCTACATAAAAAGATAATCTTGATAGAATCGTCTTGTCCTATTGTTCCTTCAATCCCAGCCTTATTTACGTTTTATTGTTATAATTGATTGTTGAACTTTATTATCTTTATGGCGTTGCTAATTTATCGGGATCAATTCGTAACAAAATTATTATATTTGTATAATATTTTATACATATATATAAAAATTTAATAGTTTTTTACTGACAACAATTGGCACATCTCGTAATTTATTGAATATTGTTATCGGAATGTTAAAGAAAGATGATTGTCCCTTTATTACATATTGTGAACACTTCTGTAATTTTTATACAGAATTATATATAATGTATATTAAATGGCAAATTATTTCAATCTGAATTTTACACACATATGCGCACATATTTTATATTAATCTATTTACAAACCTCACTGATGTTGCAAAAGTTCAGCATTAAATATAAGATAAAAGCTCAAAACAGTAAATGCTTTTTATCAGCCCATAATTTTTAATGAGAATTATATCAATAGTTATATCAATAGTATTAAGAATTTAGACTCATTTTTCATTATATACACTTTTTATACTTGTCAATTTTCTATGTTTGCAATATCCGAAAATATAATTTTATTACGCAATATTTGAAAATATAATTTTGATTTATGTCAAAACTAATTTATAAAATATATAGGGAATTTAAACGAACTTAAAATTTTTTTCCCAAAATAAGAATATAAGAATATACAATGTGCATTAAAATTTTCGGAAACGAGAGAAAAAAGTTATCAGATCTACTCATAATATTTCATATTTTTGGAATAATTTTACTCTTCATGATTGCTTGTAACAATATTTAAATATGCCTGACTTCTAAATATTCATTCGAAATATTTGAATTAATGTTTAAAATGATGAATATTTGAACATAAAATCCTTTGGTTGTAATTTCTTATATTTGAAACATATTTAAATCAATTTATTAAATGAATATTTTATCATAAAAGATAAAATTATTCATCATAAATATATTACTTAAGAGATGACATGAGAAATAAAATTTATGTATATATTTTTTTTAATGTAAAATAAATGCACTTTTAGAAATTTATTTCTACAAATTTTTAATTTAACAGCTATTTCCAGTAATTCATATATACACACACACACGACATATATATATATGTATGTATGTATGTATGTGTGTGTATAAATTGCCTAATCAAAAACAGCTGTTATATTACAAATTTGTAGAAATAAATTTCTAGAAGTATGCATTTCTATTTTTATATTATCTAAACATAAAAATAATCCTGTTGTAATTTAAATTCGTTCGAATTATATAAGACGCCACAAATATATTGGAAAATATAAAAGTTAGAAGTTTAAGGTTATGAACAATACCGGTATTTATTCGTCGAACAAAAACAAGTAGGTTAGGTTAGATCACGCTTTAAAATCTTCACATATTCAGAATAGAAAGACCAAATATTTCATAAATGTAATTTTCGAAATGAATTCCGACATAATAAAAAAGGGAACGACAATCTTTACTGGTAGACCATTTGTTTTTACTCTTAACTCGAAACATAGGACTACTCGATGTGACAACTGTTTGAAGAGGTATAAATAAACCATATACTAAATATTTAAAACAGCATATAAAATTACAATATTATATCTGATAGTTTTCTGTTACATTATTTTAATTTGAGTATTTTGGGTTGAAAATTGGTTTTGTATATCCCTTGGTGAAAATTTTGTTTTTAAATTCTTCAAATAATTTTTCAGAATTTATAAGTAAATTTCAGATTTCTCTCTTTAGAACATCTATATAACTTTACACCGTTTAACAAATTTCTTAGATTTTTATATAAATTGAAACACACTTCAGAAGTAATTAGAACCAAGAAAGACTGTCTTTTCTTGACTTCTTCATATAAATGTGTGAATTTTGAAATATTTTAAGATTACTAAAGTTTCTCATTTCATAATTTCTAAAGAAAATTTATAAAATTTGAACAAGTTTAAGATATTTTTCATAAGATGCAACATTCTTAAAAATATGAAAATTTTTTTTCACCAGGGAATGCATTTGATACACATTATATATTGCTTTAAATACTTTGCTATCATATAATTTATTATTGCAGTGGGAAATTGTTAAAGTGCTCGAGTTGTCAGTATGTGTATTATTGTGACCGCAATTGTCAGAAAGAATCGTGGCCGATACATAAGGCAGAATGTACACGTTTGAAAAAGGTGTCACCGAAAGTGTTGCCAGATGCGGCTCGACTTATGGCACGTATCATTCTCAAACTCAATCAAGGTGGAGCCGAGGAAGTGGGCTATTACACTGAGAAAAACTTCAGAAGATTCAAGGACCTAATGTCTCGTAAATATTTTTCTCTCTTTTTTAAAAAGAAGATATTTTAAGAAAAAATCTATAAATATATATAATCAATTTATATCTCTGAATTGTAGATTATTCAGACATAAAAGTGGATGTTAAGCGAATGGAACATTTCACCATGTTATGTGGAGTTTTATCCCAGTTTCTCGATGAGACATTTATGCCTAATATCGCAGAGTTGATGGGTATTTATGGCAGGATATGTACTAACTCTTTTAACATATTGGATATCAATATGAATACTATCGGAGTTGGTATTTATCTGGGAGCATCTGTGATAGATCATAGTTGTAAACCTAATGTGGTTGTTGTTTTTGAAGGAACTACCATTATTGTTAGAACATTAACAGACCTTCCTTCTTTGAATTGGTCGCAGGCAAGTATTGATAAAGATGTAAACTCTAATAGTTGAAAAACATTTAATTTTCTTATTCTATAGCTCTCAAAAGTTTGATGCGATTGATTCTATTGATAATTCTCAATCATTAAAAACAATACTTAGATATATTTTACATTTCGGTATTTGTGTAATTTTATTTTGCACAGATAAGAATATCCTACGTGGATTTACTCAATTCTAATAAAGATAGACGTGAGGAATTGCACAGTTCGTACTACTTTTGGTGTGATTGCGAAAGGTGTAAGAAAGAGGAACCAATGGCCGAAGCGGCTGCATGTCCAAACTTATTATGCGACTCGCCGTGTTCGATTGAAGCTGACGAATGCGAGAAGTGTAACACGGAAATATCTGTAGAATTTAAAGAGACATTTCGGGAAGTCGTCGATTTTACTGTTCACCACTTGGAAAAAATGAAAACTATGGCTTGTATCCTTTTGATATTTACATGAAGAAACTTATATTTTTTTTATTTAATAAGATATATAGAATTTTTGAACAATGCATTTATTCTATACAACGATACAATTTTTCCTTAATATTTTTCCTTATTAATGACAACAGATCTTGATGTTAGTAAGATATGTTTGAAGAAGCAGAAGGGTGTAATGCATAAATTTAATATACAACATGTCCGTACTCTAGAAATGGCTCATATTGCGGCTATGAACCTGAAGTGCTGGGAAGATGCGGAGTTTTATGGCAAGGAACTTGTGTCAGGATACTTGTGAGTGATCGTTAATCTGTACAGATAATGTTGTAAGATAATTCATAATACACTTTTTTATTATTTTTTTATTTTAAATGAATAATTCTAGTTGAGGATGTCATTGCTCGCTTTTTAGATTGTATTACGGGGAAATACACCCTTTGACAGGACTGCTGTATCTCACGGTAGGAAAGATACAGTTGCACTTGGAAAAACCAAAAGAAGCGCTCCAAGCATTAACTAAAGCGAACACGGTGCTAACGATAACGCATGGTGATAAACACTCTATAATAGAAGAAGAATTGAGACCTTTGCTCTATCAAGCTGATATGGAGTCGAATAGCGCGTAACGATCTTAAATTTTTGTAATTTTTATAGTAATAAAGTATTGTTTAAACACGACGTGTTTTTTAATTTTTAGTATATCCTAATTATTGTATAATTTTTTTCCGAACACAAGAATTTTAGCATATTAATAGTATTAATACATTTATTAAGATAACAATTATTTTGTATTTCTTTGTATCATTCTATCGTTTGTAATATCCATGATTTGATTAGAAAATTAGAATAATTTATAAAATAAAAATACCAAAACGGAATATATTCTCGAAGATGGAACAATCGATACATAAATCGAACTCGTCAAGCTAATGAAATGAAATCTTTACGTTTTGGGAGGCAAGGGGGAAGGTTGAAATAAAATAAATGTAAGATACAGTTTTTAGCAATCTAAAGACAAGGACTATTCAAAATGAGAGGACACAGGTTGGAGATAAAATCTGTTTTATTATCACGTAAGGAGTTGATTAGTAATCGATATTTTTTATGAATGGTATGTCGAGAGTGCGGAGCAGTCGGTGCTGCCAACTTTGGGACATCGAGAGAGAAAGAAACAGCTGCATGAACTGCTACTGGCTGTTACATATGACAGCTGTCTCACAGTGCGTTCAGCGGCGAGAGATCCGGCTTCGTTCCATGAAGTTTGGATCGTGCTAAAGATCGAGTGGTAAGTGCAATTTCACACGAATGTTTTATGAATTCTCGGGGTGATCCTGATCGTTCGTACGCCGTGCGAATCATCGAACTCTCCCGACGACCGGATCGTGAAAAAAAATTCAATTTGGGTTAGAAAATCAGATCTCATTCAATCTTGTTTGCGAGGATGCGTGGGCTTTAAGTGTTCCGATGCTTGTACTCCCATCTGTTCTATTAGAATACGGTACATCTCTCGGTAACGATGTGGACAGTACTTGACATTGCTATATAATAATCATCACATAGAGCAATTAAATTATTTACCACCGTTATCACTAGTAATATGTTTTTAGCTTGCGTCGTAAACTACAAAGTGTCCTCCAATAATCGTATCAACGATGAGAATTATACAGCTTTTGTGTTTTTTTCAAGAAACGATATATTTATGTTATTATTTTATAAATATTTTGTAAGTATTTTTATGTTATTTTTGCTTACGCACACTTTTTGCTTTATTTTAATATATTTTCTACAGGTATTTGCAGTTAACTTTCCTTTTTAAGCATCAAAGTTATTTCTTAAACTGATGCTTCTTTGAGGAATCGCATGATGTTTTCTGCCATTAAAAGATTAGCCGGTAAATCCGATGGGATCGGCAATGCGTCTCCTAGACCAGCCCATCAATCCATGCCAACAAATCTTCAGAGGAAGTTTGCTAAAGGCGTGCAATATAATAGTAAGTATTTGCAAATGTATATGCTTTATGTGTAGATGATGAAGTAGAACACCAGTTATAATACAATTTTTATACATTATTTTTAGTGAAAATAATAATAAAAGGAGATAGGAATGTAGGAAAGACATGTTTATTCCATAGACTGCAGGGGCAAAAGTTTATCGAAGAGTATATACCCACGGAAGAGATACAGGTGGCGAGTATACAGTGGAATTACAAAGCTACCGACGACGTGGTCAAAGTGGAGGTATGGGATGTCGTAGATCGTGGTAGACGCCGACGGAAATTAGAGGGTCTAAAAATGGACAATACTCCGGCTAATGCAGAAAACATTATTGAGGAACCTGCCCTAGATGCCGAGTTTCTCGACGTTTATAAGGGTACTAATGGTGTTATCATTGTAATGGATATCACGAAGAATTGGACATTTGATTATATCCAACGTGAACTGCCGAAAATACCTAGCCACATACCTGTCATTGTCCTCGGTAACCACTGTGACATGTCGCATCACAGAACCGTTACCGCGGATCATGTGACATACTTCATAGATTCACTGCACGAGAGAATAGCACAAGTAATTGAAATGATTGTTAATATTATAATCATCGTGTGTCTCGTTATCAATGAATATTTCTCCAGTAGTAAATTAAAAAAAGTAAATTTAAAACAGTTCAGTCATCATGTCCAGTAAGAATTGAAGTTATTACCATTTTTTAATTTCTAAAATTAAGAAATTAATTCTATATCTTGTTTTTCTTAATATTTTAACAAATATTATTAAAACATGAAACCATCATACTTTAATAAAAGTTTTATTTGAAAGAATGTTGAGGTTTTCTGCAGATATAATGTAAAAAATTGAAGTTTTTGAAAGAAAATTCACATTTTATTTATTTTATTACTTTATTAATATAAATTTTACTAATCATTTTGAAAAAAATTCATTGACTTGTGTAATTTATATCGAACAATATTCATAACTCAACACCTAACTAAAAAACTTCACTTAATTCTAAAGTTAAATGAATTATTGCAGGTGAGATACGCAGAGTCATCAATGCGAAATGGTTTCGGCCTAAAATTATTACACAAATTTTTTAATTTACCATTTCTGCAACTGCAACGCGAGACACTGTTGAAGCAACTCGAGACCAATGAAGAAGAGACGCGTTTGACCATCCAAGAACTGGATCTCTTCCAGGATAGTGACGACGCTGATTACAACAAATTCCTAGACAATCTCGTGAATCGTAGAAGAGCACTTGCCGACTCAGTGTCCGCTAGCAATCTAGTCGCAAACATTGTTCCGACGTCTATGAGTAATTATCACCTTACATCTTCCAATACAAATGCCATCGGAGAAGTCAAAAGGTCGGCTTCGATGCCTGGTCCTATCGGAGGTGGAACTCCAATACCAGTGAAAAATTTAGACATGAAACCGAGGAAGGAGAACTCTACGGCGAGCACATTGGATAATGTAGTTAATTCCACGAAAACATCACAAATTACATCATCTATTTCACAAAATTCCACTGTTAAAATAGAAACAGTTAAACCGGCTGAATCTGCTAATAACAATGGCGAGAGAAGAGATTCACTCAATCGGTCATCATCACTTATGTCTAAGATCTTTGGTCATAAGAAGGAAGATGAGACAGATGGGAAACTGCCAAATATTAAAAATGTTAATTTGAACGCACCATTGACTAGTGTTGAAGACTTTGTGCCGGATGGAATGCTGGACAAATCGTTTTTGGAAGGCTGCAGTTTGAGCCCTAATTCCCTTACTCCGGAGCCGGACCCTGCACCAGCTCAGGAAGAAGCAGAATCTGAGAGGTAAGTAAAAAGTTTTTTAAAAAGCTCTACTATTTCTAGAAAATATAAATAGAACACAAATTAGAAAATAATGTATATAATTTAAATTTTAGTTTACAAAATTACTTTTTGTGTTCAATTTTATTTTAGTTAGGGATCTTAAATTATTATCAAGCATTTCTATTAATATTAAAAGAAACTTGCATAAATTATCATTGCTTTCTTAAAATAAAATCTTTAGTTCTCTTGTATTTATCTTTTTTATCTTTGTGCATATTAATAGTTATTTTTATCTCAGTTTCAGTAATGTAATTCTTTATATTTTTCATGTAATTCTGCATATTATAAATATGATCAATACATACTATTACTAAGAATTGTATTTTCCATTTTACAATTGCAATTATAATCAGTATTAATATATTTAAAAAATTGTATTATCATAATATAATTTTTTACAGTGACATGGAGACTGGTAATCCTCTGGTAGCCGGTTATGAGGATGACTTGTCGTCCATCGAAGAAGTAGCTTCTCCTATACCGCCAAAATTAGCAGAGAATCCGCTGTCCAAACAGAAACACAAATTAGAACCGTTATCAGGTCCAGAAATAAATATCGAGCAGCCAAAACAAGTCACAAAAAGCAACTCCGTTTCTTCTATAGAACAAGAGCTGCAGATCTCCAATGAATATGAGTCAAACGAACAACCAGACATAAACTCGGATGCTTTTGATAGCTGGTTGCGACGGGATTCCAAATGGCGACAAAGTCCTGAAGGAGGTGAAGATGTGAGTAGTACTAGTACAAGAAAGGATAGACTGGAATTGAGCGATAAAAGTCTGGATGTTAGCATGACAAGTTCTAATGTTCATCTGGAGCTGCTCGATGATACTAGTGTGCGCCACGTAAGCTCCAATGCTAGTAGTCCAGTGATGAAAGAAAAAAAGAAACATAAAGAGAAGGTAATTGTCTTCAACAATGATTTATGGAAGAAGATTCTTAGTTGACTTAGAGAGTGTTTTTTTTTTCAATTCTTCAATTGATTTTGAATTATGAATTTATTATTTATTTTTTTAATCGATTTTAGGGAGATGAAAAGGAGAAAAGGAAAAAGAAGAAGTCAAAAGACAAAGATAAGGATAGGGAGAAAACTGAGAAAACCGAAAAAAAGAAAAAGCGCTCATCGCATCGATCCAAGGACGAGAATCGGGAGCGAGACGAGCTTGAAGAATTTTTGAACGGCTCGGTCACGAGAATTGGCGTTGATGTGGCCTATGAGGCAATTTAGCATTCATTATTTAGCATAATGTTAGGAAATATTCTCGGTAACATTTATTAAAAGCGCCACGCATCTTCCAGAAAGACTTCGCTCTCTTCGATGTAATGTATGTAACGCTTCCTCGAAAGCGGAAGAATAAGATTATTTTTTGCGAAAAACAAATAATATGTTTCGAATCGCGATATTAATCTGCGAACTCGTTATATACTCATTTTCCTCAAACAGTGAGACGTCCGTTTTGGGACTGCTTTGACCCGTATTTCAGCCGGGTTCTGCATCAGTCTGCCACGATAAAAATTGTGATTTTACGAGGGATACGTTTCATCGATCAACTATGCATTTATTTATATTGCATTTTCTCATGTTGGATGTTTGACGATTTTTCACGTACATTTGGAAAACCGTACGCGATGAGTTTGTTGCGTGAATGGATACAATACGCGAATATTCTTTTACCTTGTACGTAATATGACGACTATGTGACATTATAACGGCATACTTACGGCATTATTTATTATACTTTCCATTTTTAATATTTGTGTTCACTTATAGTAAGATTTATATGTATATTTATCGTTGATATCATTTATAAATTTTCTCTTTAGCTTAAAACATATGCGTCTTGTTGAATATAATTCTTTTAAAGAAGTTATACTATATAAATGTTACGTTATTGTTGTATTTTTCATAACGGTGTATAGCATTGTATGACCATGCAGCTTCGTGTTAATAAATGTATATAAAATAAAATGTCTTATTTCTATAGTGGAATTAAGTAATCCGCAGTTTTGAAAAATACTTTGTGTTCTAAAAAAATGTTGCTAATTTAATTTCAACCAGTTTAATTTCGAAAAACGTCGGAATGGCCTTTTTAAGGTAATAGTACAAAGAGAAACCTATACGGTCGAGAATAGATGCCTGTGTTTTTAAATGAAACTATTGACACCTCTGTGTGCACAAAGAATTATATAGCTTTGGATATTTTCGGCAAATGCTATATCCACGTTTTTTTCTATGAATTTCTGAGAGGCCTTCTACCATTCTCATTGATTACAATCGACAGTTTTCTTTCTTTTTTATCTTTCAGCAAGTTGACGTTATGTTTACATCAAAATAGCATTAAAGACATCATTTTGATATATATATATATATATATCAAATGACAAATAATTATAATGTCAAACTGCTACATTTTTCTTTTTTTTTTAAATACAATACATTATACACTAAAATATACGTTACAATAAAATTACATACACATTTTTTCCTGGCAATTATAATATAGCAAAAACAAATTAGAGAGACCTCCATCATCAGTGGAAGGTCTCTGTCGATTCTAATCAGCGGACCTCTTTTCTTGGAACTTGTTACCATTATACTTGTTGAAAAAAAATCAGAAAAATGTAACTCGTTATTTTATTCGTAAGATATTAATATTATAATATATTTTTATAACATATATAAGATATTTCAAAATCGTTGACGAGTTTTCAAAGCAATCTTGAAATATATTTTTCACGTATTTAATATCGCGTACAAATATTAATATAATTGAGTAATACGTAAGAATTATTGAATACCTTGTTGGCAAATTCCAACGATATTTCCAAGTCGTTTTTCTTGAGTTAAATTAATGAGTTCTAATCGATTTTTCTTTACCGAAGGAATTATAAATTATTCGGTTTTGAAAGAAAAATTATGCGAACCCCGAAGTCGGCATAATAGTTGTAGTCCTCCACCGTGCAATGTAATACGACATACAACAGGCGGCTGTAGTTTTAAACTGAAGATATCGCAAATCGCAAGTTCGCAATAATTAACAAAAACGCGGGCGTGCGATTTATATAGGGCGCATTCAACCGGATAAAGCTGCTAAACTGCTCGCCGAGCGATTGAATGTGATTAGTTGGATCTATAAGTAACAACCAATCATATTCATTTGTAAGCAGACTAGCCACTTTGACGAACGCGTCCATAAACTTGGCAGTGTCTCGCTGCAACTGCTGCGAGCGTTGAATTCGAACGCTCATTGGAGAACACTAGTTTTCGGATAGAGTATATAAATAAAATCCTGAAAAATTTATTTTTTTTTTCGGAAATTAAGCGCTGTTTCTGGAAAGAAGCTTGTATTCAGAACACGTTTTGCGATATTATCACGTGTTTAGCTTTAACGCCATTAACATGTTCACATTACCACCGAGATACTCCAATGATATGGCAGCTACAAGAAAAGAAATTAGGAATTAGGATTTCAACCTATCAGAAATCGGATATACCGGAATACACAATTCCTGATAGGTTGGAATCGTTATTCCTTATTCTTAATTCCTTATTCCTTCTATTGTGGCTATACTCTAACCTCTAATGTAATTTGTAAGTTGTGAATTCGTATACAGCAAGACAAATTGAAGATTGTAAACAAAAATATACTTTATAAAAACAATATTAAATTGTGAAATTATATAAACTAATCTTAGTTGCAGTTATAAAAATTTAAAAATTATGTAAATGTAATTTGTAATATAATAATAAATTTTGTAATAGAACTGCAAATTTCAATATGGAAAAATAAATAATTACTTATAAAGATAAATGTCAGAATTTTAAGATGCATTTTAATTAATTATTATTTTTTATTCTTTACAGATGTACATTTAACGATTCTTGTTACATCAATAATAGAAAATATATTTATTCTATGAACAGAAATTACCAGTAAAAATTAATTTTTTTATCAGGAAATTCTACAAGTGATGTATTAATAACGTTAGTAGTAAAAGTGCAGACATTAAATAAAGATATGATTATCCAGGAAGAAGGTCATATGTATTGAGCAAATTGATGAAATTAAATTTCATATTTATAACAAGGCATTATTTCTCAAGCAAAATGCCTTACTATGCAGTAGCCAAGGGTCGAAAACCTGGAATTTACGCTACATGGTAAGAGAATCAATTCAACCAATAAATTATCAGCAAAAAAAAATTAGAGTAAAATGCTCGTATATTTGCTAAATAAATTAAACAGATTCGTAGCTTATTTTGAGTTACATAAAAATCTGTTTAAAAAAAAATTAAATAAGTTTTTTTATTTTTAACAGGAATGAATGCAGTGCCCAGGTTCTTAAATTTCCTGGATCAATATACAAGAAATTTGCAACAGAAAGCGAGGCTCGAAACTTCATAAAGGAGCGTTCTTCTTCAACAAATTCTAAGAGCCTTGCTTCATTGAAAATTGTGAAATCTGCAAGGTAAATATTAACCCTTCACTGGCTGTATGAAATTTTTTATTATAGTTTACATCCTGAGTTGTTAAGGTCCATAACAGATTTTTTTATTGATTTAAATTATGTAAAAATCTGAAAAAATTCTTATATATTTTTTAAATCTTTAACATGTTTTTACCATAATAGAAATAAAATTATATTTTACTTTTTTTTTTGCAAATTTAAATGTAATAATTTTGAAAAAAACGTGATATTGATTAAAAGTGCATAACTTTTATATGAGCGAATGAAAAAAAATCTTTTTGAGTTACAATACTTTAGGATAGTACTTAAAAAATATATAATGATGTTGACTTCAAAACGTTAAATTATTTGAGCATTTAAAAAAATAAAAATGTTTATGATTAAAAAAAACTTCAAGTTTTTTGGAAAAAAAAAATAAAATGATAGCGATATACCGAACTCCATTATTCATTTTCTTAAAATTTTTACAATTAAAAAATCGACTGTGTCTTAAAAGATCCTGCATTGCTGATGGAGAGTTAATAACAATTTATGTTTAATATAAATAAGAAAAAAATATTGCGAAACTCTTTAATAAAACTCTGAAATCTTATTACAATATATCGTTCAAAGCTAATATTTTTAGATCTCAAACCTTGCCGAAACAGTTGTTTACACTTGGTGGTAAGCAGTCTGCAATAGTTCAGACAAAACCATTATCATCAATTTCAAAAAGGACTTTATCTACAAATGACGATAATAATGAACACCCAAGCAAAAAGAGAAAAATAACTGATATTTCAAACAATTGTCTTGGATTATCTCAGTGTCTTAATCAGGTTTGAAATTAATAGTACATCAATAAAATTTCTCAAAAACTAAACTAATCAACTCTACTATTTATAAATTTTTTAATTTTATTATCAAAGCGCACTATTTATAATTTCATCAATTTTTTATTTTATAGTTGAATAGTTGATTTAGTTGATTAGTATGGTCTGAGAATTTCATATATTTTAATAAATAAATAAAAAAATAAATTATATTGCAAAAATATATTTCATAAATTTGGATTATATAGGATGACAAAGCGGATTTTATCGTGGATGAAGATGGCTATGTGAATGTTTTTACGGATGGCGCATGCAGTTCGAATGGATATAAGAATGCACGAGCTGGTATCGGTGTCTGGTTTCAAGACAATCATCCCTTGTATATTTTATTTTTCAGTCTTGTCCATTGTCTATTAAAACTCAATGAATCAGCTCGTAATATAGGTATAATTTTTTAGAAATGTATCTGAACCAGTAAACGGACGACCTACTAACAACATGGCAGAAATCCAAGCTGTTACAGTAGCTTTGAGACAGGCGAAAAAGGCAGAAATCAAGAAGTTGAAAATCAACACCGATTCTAAATTTCTCATCTCCTGCATTACGCAGTGGATGCCAGCGTGGAAGAGAAGAGGATGGAAAACTGTGGATAACAAACCAGTTATAAATAAAACAGAATTATTGGAAATGGAGAAAGAATTAGAGAACTTGACTGTTG